CCCCCCCCCCTCCCGCACACGTCGCGGACCACACGACAGTCTGCTGAATGAGATTGACGACTAGAGGTTGATACGTTTGACCGAAGCAACCAAGAAAATTCAAAGAACGAGAAAACTCTGTTGATAGGTTCAACTAGAGCAGGTGGCTTTCGTCCCAACGTGAGAGATTAAGCCTCGACCCGATACTGACGGTTCCTATGTTCGGGCCCCGATCGTAGTTCTGCACTTGATGATCCGCGGTAGATTGCAGTTGACAGGAGGAAGGTTTGCGCCTGCAGAGTATGCTGGATCTACCCACGCACTCTTTGGATGTTGTCCGGGTGCCTGTGTGCTTAACCAAATCTGCGACACAGTGTAATTCCTTCTGGCACACGTAGTCCTGAGTGACAAAAGAGTAAAACTTGTCATCACTTTACCATGTCAAAACAGGAGTAGCTAATACACCGCTTATCAGGCTAAAACTGCTGCATCCACTTTTGCAGCAGGAACACCGTTGCATGTGCTGTGAGTTTCGTTTCCAGGTTGTCGTTTCCAATTTTTTTATATCGAGCGGATCCTATGACAGCGCATGAGTGTGCCATGTATTGATATATGCACAGGCATTCTGCGAGCCAGCTAGATGGGTCACAGCGAGCGGTTGGCGAACTTCGAGGTTTGCTTGTCGTGAGTTTGGCTTCTGGTAGCCACACCGCGGCGCTTCAGTGGAAAGCTGACAGTACCCACGGATCGGTGCCGTGGTACGTGCTGAACGGCGTAGGCGGTTTTTTTCAGGTAAGTTTAGCGGACCTCGAATGTGGAACTTGGCAGAAGGCAAGTCAGCATGTGTTGCACGGCCGCGAGCCGCCTCGTTTGCTGCTCCCATTCATTTAGACGTCGTGAGTTGTTTCACGGCCCGCTAGCTACGGTCGTTTCCGCATCGTTGATTCCAGCAGATACGTGTTTCTCTGGTACAGCCCTCCCTGTCTCTCGTGCCATGAGCAACTGCGTTTCCTGGGGTTGTCTTTTGAGTGCAACATTGGTATTCTTGTCTTGGTTGTTATCTTGGAAATGTAGAGGTAATTTATGAGTTACGCATCCGACACCCTAAGGGCTGCAACGACGCCCGGCTATGTTTCAAATAAGTCTTGCAGGGGCTGTGGCTGCCATCAGTCATTGCTAAACGAAAAAATCCGCCTTCTTTTTCTCGCCACTGCTGAAGGGAGGAGAGGAGCTCTTGGTTCTGGTTAACGCTGAGAATAACCAGCCGGAAGTTATTTTGCCGTCGGGCCCTTTCAGTGTCAACGAGGACGAAGAGACATATATCTCTGGCGCACGCGTTTCAGATGTCGATATGGAAGTTTCGGCCAACTACGAGCTTGCTGTTCGATTGTCGGTCGAGCAAGGGGTTGTGTCCCTCAATGGCACTGATGGACTCGGTTTCAGCGTTGGCGACGGCGTCGAGGATGAGCTCGTATACTTTCACGGGTCCGCTGCCAATGTCGGTAATGCTTTGGGAAGCATATCATACCGAGGTCACTTCAACTGGTGGGTGCTGTGGGCTCGTTATGTTTACGACCCAAAAGCGTCGATGGACCTCGAAGTTCCCCCTTGGCACGGACCAGATTACTGCACGACACACCTTTATGCATCGCCCTTGCCACAGAAACCACGCGCCGCCCGCAGTATCCGACACGCTGGCGCTTGGCATGAACCGTGAAAAAAAGGGTCCGTGACGTTGTCTGTGTGGATTGCTACTGCCATCATTGGCTCAATTACAGGTACGGGAATGATACGCTGACTCTGACAGTGAATGACCAGATGTATCTTGGGGCAGGAGAAGCCAAATCCGATACAAAGCAGGTACGTCGAGTACATAGTAGAGCGCTCGACCTGACCTAGTTGATGGCAACACGGTGATAAGCTACGCCACGCTGTCGTATGGGACCAGGTTCCGGTTTGTGGACGTTAAACACACGTTTCAATCGGTACAATCAAGTGTATTGAGTACTGTGCTTAAAGTGGCGGAATCTAGAACTGGAGGCTGCAGAACGGCACAATACCTCTTAAGCGTTGAACAGGTTAGAAGGGACTTCGGTACCACATGATTTCAGCATGTCGGCAACACACTGCCACGAGAAAGCGTGCGCTCAACGTTCCCTCAACACGCGTTCACACAGGTCATCATTACTGCGGTGTCAGTCCCAGATGCTCCTGAGATTGTGATTCCCACGAGCCCTGTCGTTGAGGAAGACGGTGAGCTCATCCTCAGCGGTTTAGGCATGTACGACGCTGACGTGTCCAGACCTGGTGACGAAGGGCTGCTCTTCGACGTTTGGCTTGAGGCTGTCTCTGGGCGGCTCTCGTTGAATGGAACATCGGTGAGGTTTTCAAGAGAGAAGATTGTAGTTGCCACACGAGCTTCCGTACTTGTACTTCATCGTTACATTTGTTCATCCCATCGGGGTATCAGGCACATGGATAGCCAGAGGTTAAATATCAAATTGTGTACCTCAAACGGGATATCGACGGTGGTGCGTTTCAGCCAGTCCGAATATTGTATGCATGTCAGCACAAAGTGATCTGTGCAGCACTGACCCAATCCATTTGAACACTTGCATCGATGCCGCCCCGGGTGTGCTAAAGGGGCTGATGTTCACCACAGGACAGGGGATTTCCGATCGCTTCGTGTACTTCACGGGCACTCTTGCGAACATCAACGAAGCCGTTGGTCTGCTCACATATGTACCAGATGAAGACTTCAACAGCCATCAGCACGCAGAGCTCTTGACGGTCTCGATATGGCAAATAGAATCCAGCGAAGCCAAGGTGCGATTTCGCGGACACCCTCTCAAGCACCAGCAGAATCGCACGAGCATTTCTTGGTCCATTGGCTAAATGTCGTTGAGCAGAAAAATATGTTATACTTCTCATCCACTCGCCACCCCACATATGAAATGTGGATCGAAGGCTTGCCGAGCTTCGCGGACTCACTCCGCTCTTTGTAGGCCTGCATGACACGATCCCTTGTGTTGTATCTTGACTCTTGCCACCTTTGGCAACATGCTTTCGTTCGAGTCCACATACTCTAACCGAGGTCGCCAGGCTGCTACCTGATCTCTATGCCTGTCTTGGTATCATCGCCCTATTGCTTTGCACCCTGCATGGTAGAACACGTCAGACCATGCTTCTTCTGACATCCGTGCGCCTGCTACCGAACTCTCCTTTGGTGCCCTACTACCCAACGAAGGTCGTCGGTGTTCTACCTGTTATGGTGGATGCGGTCAATGACTCTCCAAAAGTGGTCACCCCGCATCATCACGTGATGAAGCTTGGTGCGTTTGGGATCTGGAATCAATACCTCCAGACTCAGACAGGAATGTCGGCGACCACAGGCAACCTAACGGTTGGAATATTGACCGACACGGCATCCGGGCAAATCATGCTCCATGGGATTGACACCGAGAATGTATCCCTCCAGGTGAAATTGTTTCCCATTGCAGTTCCACATTTGCAGTGCTACGCCGAAAATAGCGGCGTTGGAACCGTCTCGTGGAGAGCTTTCCGAATCGTATCCTTTGATTTTGGCATTCTCTTCGTCGCGGGGTGATCGGGCTACAGTATACGAATCTGTCCATGGGGTGTGGTATCTTATGCAGCCTACAGTATGTCCTAAACCCGACTCGACGCATGACCATCAGCGCTGGCGTGAAACGGTTCAAAAAGCGCTCATTTGTTGTCTTTCGAATTTCTTCGTCATGGTCGATTTCTAGATCACAGGGATAAAGAGAGGTAATGGGGTAGGAGCCAGCGCTAGAAGTACCCAAACCTCGCGCCGGAACCCCCTCAACAGTCTCACTCTCTCTCTGCCCACAAGTCAAGTGTCCAGCCGAGGCAATCCAACTACCTCTACTGCACGCAGGGTTTCAGTCTGGAATCACCAAGTATCTAAATGGTACTCGAGCATTCAACTACGCCCCACCCCACAGATAATACTAGAACCAACCAAAGGAACCATGGATTTCGTACCATTTTCCGGTTCCCCACGTTCGAAAGAAAAGGAATAGGTGGGGGTACGCGAGATCTGTTCGTGACCCCGGTTCTCCAAAATGATGTTTTATGGACTCTTGTAACAATTTTAGACATGCAGTTGCGAAGGACCCGACTGCAATGTGACACGTGTATGACAGGGTTGGTAGTTGGTCTGCGTTTATTACCTCGCGCATGAATGATGATGTAGACGACCTGATGGAACAGGGATTGCGTTGCGATGTTAAATTTGAATGGCCCCAGGTGGTGGATGGGGCGACGTATGGGATGGAGATCGTGTTGACCGGAAGTGCAGAGGATCTGACGTCACAGCTGGCGCAGGCAGAGTTGATGTACACCAGAAGCCCAGGTTATGACGGCCCAGACGCTTTTCAGGTGCTGTGCCTCGTTGTGTCATTATTCCCAACTAGCACTTGTGTGTATCGATGCCACTGTGTTATTCTGCTGACTATCGGTCTGAAGCTGCTCTTCAGCAGTACGGCGTGAGATTCTGTGACACAGTTGGCATGACAAAACCCTTGCAGGCACATGTTGCATATAGCATCCCTATCGATATAGACGTCAACGATAGAATCATCCCGTGTAAAGCGTGGGTTGTTTTTCTCGACTAACCTCGTGCGTCACAGGTCAGCGTTGGGGACGGAAGCCTTGCAGGAATCGAGCGGTCTGTGTTCGAGGTTAGCTTATACCGTATGGGAGACCCAGATGCCACGATGCCGTCTCCAAGAATCATCTCGGTAGAGCCCAATCAGATAAGCCCCGAAGGTCGCGACACGGTTTCGATTTTTGGCACTTTTTTCGATACATTCCCTGATCCTTCGGCCACGGTGTACGTGCAATTTGGATCCAGCGAACCAGTGGTTGGTGACGTGGTGGGTAGTACCGAAATTGTTTGTACGGCACCACCGACAACCTCCAGCAGTACCTATTCGGAGGGTGTTCAAGGCTACTTCGTGTTCGTAAAGCTCACGAACCTCGTGAACTTCTGGAGCAATGCTGTCCCACTTTTCGTCGAGATTCAGCCGGAAGTCTTGTCGATATGGCCAGATGCTGGTCCCGCTTGCGGAGGGACCAGCGTGTCGGTTATCGGACGAAATTTTCTTCCGTCAGAGTCTTTGATGTGCGTGTTTGGCGATGGCAATGGCAACGCGTCAACTCTGGCCAGTTGGCGTTCTTCTGACCTCCTGGAGTGTGTTTCACCATCATGGGCGTTGCCGCATGGAGAAGACGGCGTCATCGTCCCGTTCGTTGTGAGCACGAGCAGGGAGCAGGGCCAGCAATCGGCCGCTTCCTTCCGCTTCGTCGCCTCTATTACTGTTGAAAGCGTTTCGCCCGAAACGGGTTCAGCAGAAAGCTGGACAAACGTTACGATTTCCGGCGCACATCTCAACGGCTACGATCTTACTTGCGTCATCGGGGGCCATGAAGTACTACCCGTAGTTCAGGAGGATGCCTATCTCCAATGTACTGTACCACCCCGTGGAATTCCACTTGAACGCACCTTCAGAATAACGGTAGCATCAACGATTGGTGCTCCTGGGATTGAGCACTCCGATCGATACGAGGTGGTTGACGCCGACCTCGCGACTGTGAGCGAGACTTTGGATTCCATCAGCCAGGTCCAGCCAGGGCTTGGCCCGGGGACTGTCGTTCTTCCGCTTGTGCGTGGTCACCAGTATTGGCTGGACCAAAGCGATGAATCTAACTTTGGACATCCGATAGCGTTTTCGTCCGACCCGAGAGGGGTCCACGGTTCCGGTGGAAAAGCTTGGACCAAGGGTGTGCAGCGGCTTGCTTTGTCTGGGGGAACACATGCCGGTAGCCCCGTTGGTACAAACGGGGCAGGAGCGGGCGTGGTGAGCTTCCTCGTGCCAATGGATGCCCCAGATGTCCTCTACATGTACTCGGAAGCATCCCCTGGGCTGGAGCACGGCATCGCTGCGATCGTTACTGACCATGTTGAACACACATTTGTCAGGGTTGTTGCAACCCATGGGTCTGCCTGCGATCCTGCCGTTCACCCTTTCAGGTAGGATCATGGTCGAGGATATTTTAAGTAGAATACAGATCAGGCAGTCGACTGAGGTTGTGTGCCTATCGGCTTACCGAACGCCATATGAGACTAAAGCGAATGTATCCGACATGGACGCGGGCCTCAATGTTGACGTCTCAGGGCAACAACCTGAAGCTGTTTGCCGAAAACAAACGAAAATTCTTGCCAAGTTGAGCTCGCGTTATGTCCACTTCGCATGCAATCGATCCGGCAGGTACCATTCCGTTTCCATCGAGAACGCAGTTTCAATGGCGCAAGATACACGCGTAGTGCTGGCGGGGAGGGGTTTCGTCAATAGCACTCGGTTGGCATGCAAGATCGGCGACGCCGATCCGGTTTCGGCATTTTTTTCTTCTTCTACCGAGATCAGCTGTCCTGATCCTGGACCCTTCGCGGATGAAACTTCCACCGTGGTCAAGGCTACCGTGGACGGAATCGATTTTTCCGCGGCGAGTGCCTTGTTCACCCACAGTCGGATCCCATATGTGTTGTCAATCCGTCCCACAACAGGGCCACATCGTGGCGGTACCTCCGTATTCCTGTCCGGAGCACACTTCCCCAATTCTGGCCGACTTGTTTGCAGCTTCGGTGGGTTGCTTGTACCTGCGAGATGGCTGTCAGGGGAGCTCCTACACTGTGTGTCCCCAGCAACGCCCGAAACTGGTGCAGTCGTTGTTCAAGTGTTTGCGGCTGGAGGCGTGTTTGCTTCGGAGGGGCTGGACTTCTTGTTCTACAGAACGGCAGTGCTAGCGGCCATTCCGAGAGTGGGACCTAGGGGTGGTGGCACCCCGGTGTCAATTCATGGCGAGGGATTTGAAAAATCTGGAGAATATGTGGTGCGTTTCGGGCTGTTGTATGCCCAGGCCATTTTCGTGACCTCGTCCGAAATACAGTGCCGCACACCAGGACAGCTGAACGCCGGCGAGGTAGAGGTTTCGGTCACCGTCAATGGCATCGACGTTGACACCGGTTCCGACGCTGTTTTCACCTACACTGCGCCAGCCACCTTGGCGTCCATTGAACCCTCTTGGGGACTCAAGGACGATGAGACAACTATCATCCTGCACGGCAGCGGGTTTGCGAATACCTCCGAGCTTGCCTGCTCCTTCGGTGGGAGTGGAATGCGGTTTGTCGCATCGTTTATATCAACACGGCATGTTTCATGCACAGTTCCCGTCGGAATCGCCGAGGGTGAATACGACGTGGATGTGACGACCAACGGGCAAGAGTTCACTAGGAGTGGTGCCAAGTTCAGAGTGGAGGAGGAGCCGACCATTTTGTCAATTTTTCCGAACAGTGGCCCAACCTGGGGGGGAGAAGCAGTGCATGTGAAAGGCTTCAACTTCAAGCGTACCTCGCGGCTTGGGTGCTTATTTGGATCAACAGCCGTAAATGCTCGTTGGGAGTCGTCGACGAGCTTGTGGTGTGTCTCGCCTACTGGAGACACAGGCCACAGTGTCCCATTCACTGTCACCCTCAACGATCGCCCGTCCTCTTCTGAGGCACACTTGTTTATGTTCCGGGATTACTCTGCAGAGTGCGTGACCGGCCCCAAGAGCGCTCCAATTGACCTTTTGGTGGCCGACAGAAACCAAACTCTGGAGGAAGCGTTTGGGCAATTCTATAGTGCAGACATCACGGGAGAATCTTTCCAGGGAACTGTTTTTCCGGGCAACGCCCGTTTCATTTCGGAGTCGGAGATGCAAGATGGATGCGAATCCCACGACGATTCCACTGCAGGCGCAGACTTCGTCCAGGGATATGCGAACAACAACGCCAGAAATCGCGACGCAACTGTCCTGCGCGTAGTTCCTGATAGTGGCTCCTACGCCGGAAACACTACCGTTCTTGTTGTTGGCACCAACTTCATCGATACTCAAAACATCGAGTGCATGTTTGGTGCATCAGTGGTTCCGGCCCGCTGGCTCTCTCCGGCCCTGTTGAGTTGCCTTTCAGCCCCTGGGGATGCACCAGGCAGGGTTCCTTTCAATGTCGCCGTGAAAGGCGTGGCCTCGAGTTCTTCGTCTCTCGTCTTCTCGTACAAAGGTTTCCCTACTGTGATCAACATGCTGCCGTCATTGGGGCCCGTTCAAGGAGGCACGATCGTTTCATTTCGAGGGGACGGATTCGTATTCTCAAGCGGTTTGAGGGCGCGCTTCGGAGACACTGTCGTTCCAGTCACGTTTGTCAGCCAGGGAGAGCTAGCGTGCACTTGTCCGCCTTCCTTTGCTGGAGACGTCACCGTGCTTGTCAGCGACCATGACCAGGCTTTGAGCAGTGTCAACAAGTTGATTTTCACGTACACAGGCAAACCGGTAATTGAAGGTCTCAAACCATCCCGTGGAAGCGTCGCCGGAGGCGAGAAGGTGAGCGTCCGTGGACGGCACTTCGCGAACAGTACGGATCTAGCATGCATGTTCGGTGAAGCCGGCCTTGTTTCGGCCAGGTTTGAGTCGGACACAGAGATTGTATGCGACACGCCGGGCTTCGTCGGGGAAATGGTTCAAGAGTTGGAGATCACCATCAACGGCATCGACTTTACATCTGATGGAAACATTTTCACGTTCACCGGGGCACCTGCCGTTCTTTCTGCTACTCCAGACAGTGGGAGTGCCAGTGGTGGCACAGTTGTCGTCGTAGAGGGGGTCAACTTCGTCGATTCCAGTGATCTTTCCTGCCACTTCGGTAGCTCGTCAGTGTCGGCACGATGGATTTCGTCGCAAGTCGTTCAGTGCGTGACCCCTCCAGGCGTTCCTGATACGACCGTTCCACTGGCGATCTCTTTTGTCGAGGGTCAGACAACTATCGGTGGTGCAGAATTCTACTTTTTTGCACAACCCACCATTCAAGGGTTTTCTCCTATGCATGGCAGCATCCACGGTGGAACTACGTTGTCGATATTTGGAGCCGGATTCTGGTTTTCGGGTGAACTTCGTGTTCGTTTTGGGAGAACAGATGTTCCTGTGACGTTTGTGAGCCCTTCTGAGCTGCGGTGCAATTCACCAGCGACACCATTCCCTGGGCTGGCTACCATACTCGTGTCTGTAAACGGCGTGGACTTCTTTGGGCGAGATGACGCGGAATTCAACTACGTGATCCCGACAAGAGTGATCACTGTCTCACCTCGGGAAGGACCGCAAACTGGTGGGACAACAGTATCTGTCAGCGGGAGTGGGTTCAGGATGGGCTCCGGACTGGGCTGTATGTTCGATGGAGAGAATGCCGCAGCGACGTATCATTCAGAGACACTAGTTAGTTGTGTCACGCCCCCAGCCAAGAAGGACCGTCAAGTGGTCGTCACTGTTGTAAACGGCGGACCAGAGCATGCTGCGGAAGGCAAAGTGTTTATTTACGGCGGAGGAGCCAGCATTTCATCGGTACACCCCGACAGTGGCCCAGTTTCAGGTGGAACACTCGTTCACGTCGACGGTTTTCACTTCGTCCATGCGCAACATATTCGGTGTGTGTTTGGTACTCAGGTCGTACCTGCGCGCTGGGTTTCCTCCACTCAAGTAGTGTGCACATCACCTCAAGCAAGCGAGGCGCAAGGAGTGCCGTTTGCCCTCGAAGTTGAGGAGGTCCACCGCCTCGACCATGAGACGATGTTCTCGTACTATGAGGAGCCGACTTTGTTGGGCATATCCCCGCAAGTGGGATCTGTCGAGGGAGGGACGACGCTCGATCTTGTTGGGGAGTATTTCACGTTCTCTAAAACGCTCACGGCAAGCCTTGGAGATGTGGAAGTTCCCGTTGTATTTATCAATTCAACCTTGCTTCGCTGCGTGACAGTCGCATCATCTGCGCAAACGGTTAAGGTTGGCCTCAACGTTGATGGAGCACGGGGCATGAATCAACCAACATGGCGCTACACCTTCCGCGGCAAACCTCGGGTGGTAGCCATCGAACCTTCTCGCGGGAGCATTGCTGGAGGGACCTTGATTTCTGTACGCGGCGATGGATTCGAAGACACGAGGACCATAGGTTGCAGGTTTGGGCCAAACGGCGAAAATGTCGTCAAGGGCAAATTCATTTCAACCGTAGAGCTCGCATGTACCACCCCTGTGGCTGCAGACACGGGACCCGTACAGGTGGAAGTGACTGTCGATGGAATCGAGTTCAGCGATAGTGGGCATCGCTTTACCTACCATGGAAGCCCTTTGATCACCTCCGTCAGCACAGCATATGGCAATGCTGTTCTGGCCCATGGCGGATATTTTGTTGATTCCGAGACCCTTGTCTGCCTCTACGGTGCATCGAGCGAGTCGCCAGGACGGTGGATTTCGACTACACTTGTCGAATGCGCCCCACCAACATCAGACGTGATCAGGGCCGTGGGAGGAAGCACCACAACCCTCGCCGTAGGCTTTGGCGGTGCAGAACAGACTGAAGCGGTTGTCTTTGAGCTGGCTCGTCCCTCTAACTTCTCCAGCCTTTCTCCCACTATTGGCTCGTCAGCCGGAGGAACCATGGTTTTCTTGCGAGGCACGGGCTTCGTTTTTGGTGGAGATCTACGCGTTCGTTTTGGTGGTGTCGAAGTTCAAGCCACGTTTTTGAACGAGACGCTAGTTGCATGCGTTTCTCCGGCCGGGGAGCCTGGCTTCACCGAAGTGGTGCCAATACTCGGGACCGACGCCTCCGCAACCACTTCGATTCAGTTCCAGTACGTTCATGACGTAGAGGTGACAGATGTTAAAATAACATCTAGCGACATCGTCGGACGTAAAACGGCAGTTGTGAGAGGCGCCAACTTCGTCAGCACCAGTCAATTACAGTGCAGATTTGATGAAAATATGCGGGTGCCAGGTATCTTCATATCGGCGAGCGAGGTGTGGTGTGATGTACCTCCGTTGACCGAGTCTGGACGAACGGCCGTGGAATTAAGCGTCGACGGCTTCGTGTTTTTGCCAGCCGGATTTGTGTTCGTGGGCGAAGAGGAGGAATCTCTGCTCATGCTTGACCCTTCGAGTGGCCCGGCGGTGGGGGGAACACTTGTTGTGCTATCTGGTGGGAGCTTTCGGCGCTTTGACGGAGTGGAATGCTCCTTTGGCCACGCGAGAGTTCCAGCGATCTGGCTCTCCGAGGGGGAAATTCAGTGCGAAAGTCCTCCATGGCAAGAGGTGGATCAGGTACGTGTGACAGCCTTGGTGGACGGCTACGAAGCTGGTGCTGGGGTGTTTACGTACGAGCAGCATTTGGTTTTCTCCGTTTTTCCCGAGAAAGGCGATGATTCCGGCGGAACGCTCGTTACGATATCCGGGCGAGGACTTGACGTGAGCAAGCAGTGGGTTTGTTGGTTTGGTCTGGAGAAAACGCCCGGCGTTGTTGCCGCCGACGGTGAAGGTATGTCCTTGCAGTGCTTGTCACCACCAAGGGCTAGTTCGGATACCGTTGTTACCCTGAATGTCGGTGCTGGTTATTCTCTCCCTGATTTTTACTCTGGGGTACCTTTCACGTATATCCCATCAGTGAAGGTGATTTCACTCTACCCGACGAGTGGTTCTACTCTGGGCGGCACATCCGTCAATGTCATAGTTCAGCACGGTTTCGGGAGGTCTCCCCCTCCGCTTTATTGCAGTTTCGGTGAAGCGGGATCTACACTCTCTACCTGGATAAACGAATCGGTCGTGGAATGCAAAGCCCCCTCGTCACCGCTCCGAGGGAAAGTTATGGTGGGTCTCTATTCTTCAAGCGCCAACGAAAATGAATCAGGTGGGACTTCTCCCTACTGGTACTTCTACCCACCGACGGTCTCGTTCGTACACCCTCTTGAAGTGGAAACAAGCGGCAGTACACCGTTCGTCGTGACGGTTACGGGAGGAAACTTCGTGGGCTCTGGTCCTCTCTCCTGTCGAATGAATGGGACGATGGTAAATGCTTTGTGGTTATCGGGATCGGTGGTAGAGTGCCCATTTATGGCGATTCTTCCAGGAGAGCACGCTATCGAGGTGTCCAACAACATGGTTGATTTCGTTCTCGCAGGCGTGATCCTCGTTACATTGCCAAGTGATAGCCTCACGGTGAGCACAGGTCACGTCGCTCCTAGCAGGGGCTCTACCGAGGGCGGAACCTCCATCAAGGTGTTCAACCCAGTCGTGGAACTCCTTGGCTCTGTGCGGCATTGTATCCCCGGGGATCTCGTGTTGAACGCGACTACGTCAAGCAAGCAACATGTGGAGTGCGTTACGGCAGCTCACGAGGAGGGGACGCCACCTGTGAGTGTCTGCGACTTGTCCGACAGATGCTCTCAAAGCCAGGGTGATTTTTCTTTCGTAGATCCTCCTGTCGCGAAACGACTTGTGCCCAACATGGGTTCTGTGCACGCAGCGTCAATGGTCAAGGTGGAGACATCGAAGGGTTGTGGTCATGATCCTGTGGACGTTTGGTGTCGATTCGACGATGTTGCTGTACGTGCGTCGTCGGTGCTCGATGACTCCGTAACATGTGCCTTTCCGACAAGCGAGGATGGACTCTTCAACGTGTCCGTGTCGTGCAATGGGGTCGACTTTTCGGACCCTCTACAACTCATGCGCTACCCTGAGATTTTTGTGTATGACGCGTTTCCCCTTTCGCTTTCAAGCGAAGGGGGATCAGTCGTTCACGTGAGTGGTCGAGGATTTCAAAACGTAGCGGACGGAGGAACTGCGGGTCCCAGTCTGCTGTGTTTTTTCGACGATACGCCAGTACCTGCAGTGTGGGTATCCGAAGCGTTGGTGCTGTGTCGCTCGCCTCCAAAGGATCCTGGCATGGCAGTGCTCAGTATCTCGACTTTCATATACCAGGAGGTGTTAGCAACCGTGAATGTTTCATATGTCGACGGTGGCCATGACAACAGCAGCTATATCCTGAGCCCCACCGCCGGAACCACGGAAGGGGGTACGGTCGTATCGATCACCGGGACGAACAGACTTACCGGCCCGGTGCTTTGCCTCTTCGGCGAAGAAGTTACGTCAGCAGTCTCTATGTCTTCCTTTGAGGTTGCTTGCGTTACACCGAAAGCTTTTGCGCCAGGTCGCGTGGATGTCAACATAGTTTGGGCGGACTACAAGGAGGCCGTTGGCGAATTTGAGTACAAGACATACGTCCTGCTCTCCAGTGTGCGTCCAGCTGTGATAGACACTGATGGTGGCACTCACGTCACTGTTTTCTTGGAGGAAGCTTCTGGCGCTATACCAGATGCGGCGAACGTGAGCTGCAGAATCGGTGATGACCTGGTGCCAGCCTTGGTGCACCCGACTGGATTGAGCGTCGTGTGCGTCGCGCCTGCCGGACCGCCAGGACCTGCAGAAATTGGCCTTTGGAGTGAGGGGTATCAAACATCGCGGGGAGACTTGAGGCTGTCGTATGCGTCTCTGCCGATCGTCAGCAAGGTGAACCCTGTTGGTGGGCCGTCAGGTGGAGATTCCCAAGTGGATGTTTTCGGGCACAACTTTGTCTACTCTCAAGATCTAGCCTGCTTCTTTGGCAGCGAAAGGTCGACGCACATGGAGTGGTTGTCAACCTCACAAATACAGTGCACTATACCAAAGCTGCTGCCAGGTATTGCTCATGTCACGGTTTCGCTCGACGGGGTCCGATTCAGCGAGCCCTCAAACGCTTCAACGTACGCAGTTCATCAGGATATTGTGCTTGACCGTCTGGAACCAGCCATGGGACGCGCTACTGGGGGCGCTGTAGTGGCGATCACCGGCAACAGGATTCCGCTGACGGGAGGCTTGGAGTGTCTGTTTGGGGATGTTGCAACGCCAGCGGTCGTACTTAATCGGACGTCTCTGGAGTGTGTAAGTCCCAAGCTGAGCGTGGGGTTGGTGCATATCAACCTGCAATATACGGACGGACGAGGGCGAATGAACAGCGGTGGTGCGCAAGTACGATTCCAGGTCATTGCCGAGGAGCCGACCGTTCAAATCATGTCACCGATGTCTGGGCCTGTCGAAGGTGACACGAGTCTTGTTATTGGTGGCGCCTACTTTTCCAACGCCACGCGAATCGTCTGTCGTCTCCAAGGCAGGACTAGAAGTGTCGACATTGTGGCAGATTGGTTGTCATCAAGTGCCGTAGTGTGCACATCACCGCGATGGCATCAACCGGAAGGGGGCGTACCTGTCCAACTACTGGTCGATGGACGTGGTGCTCAGTATTCGAGAAATGCTACCATGATGTTCGATTTCAGCGCGCCGCCGATTATCGAAGAGATTCACCCGCGGCATGGACCTGAATCTGGTGGTACCGAGATTCGACTCCGTGGCGCCAATTTTCGCAATTCGAGGACGCTGGCATGTCTCATATGCACGGCGGGCGGCGATGCATGTACCACCACTAGTGGAGAATGGGTGTCGTTCCACGAGCTCAGGTGCATTTCTCCTCCGCACGAGCCTGGCTTGACTACGGTGGAGGTGGTTCACAGTGGTCACGAAACCACGAGTGGCGTTGCGCACTTTTTGTTTGATCCCACACCTCATGTCACCAACATTCATCCTACCGGAGGAGGCTTGGAAGGTGGCACTGAGGTGCTTGTTACCGGGACCAACCTACGGTTCACAGGCACCGCCATGTGTCGATTCGGTGACATTTCTACGAAAGCAGCTTTCCACGCATCTGGTATTATCTGCTCATCGCCAACCCTCTTGACTCCCCAAAAGGTACTCCTCGAAGTATCTGTGAATGGCGCTGATTTCACTTCGGACAGACACAAATTTCAGTTCTTTGGGTCCGATGCTGAAAATTGGTCAATTTCTGGGCATCCAACTTACGGAGACCGAAGGGGCAATACGGAAGTGGCGGTGCATGCTGCGCTCGAGACGTTTACGGGCGAAGGGTATGAATGCGTTTTCGACGACGAGACCACTCCGGCGCTCGTAACTTCTCCTTCCTCCGTAACGTGCCGTTCGCCGCCGTTCGCCGGGGAGGGCATCGTGGACCTCCGGGTGAAGTTAGCCGACGGAAAAGGTTTGACCGCGTCAACGCCATTCGAAGTTTTCCCAGACATCGAACTCCACTCTTTGAATCCTGCATCAGGATCATCAGCCGGAGGTTACACCGTATTCGTGCGTGGGACCGGGTTTGTAGATACGTCGTTGATCTGTTGTCGCTTTGGTGGCCGAAGCATTCCAGCGGAGTTGCTATCGACGACCGCATTAAGGTGTGTGGTACCGCCTCGGGTTGGCAAGGACCTGACTACGGTAGTCGTCGAGGTCTCGCACAATTGTGAGGACTTCTATGGTACGGGCCTCGACTTCAGCTATGACCGCGACCTCTCCAACGCCCGGAATCAGTCTGGGAGTGTTTCCCCCCATTCCCCTGTGGGTTACAGAAAGAACTTGATTCGATGCACGCTGGAAGAGGCTGAGGTCAACTCGTCAGACTCCTGGGAGCATCGGTCTATTGCTTGTATTTCGCTTGTGGACCCTCCTTCCGTCCACCCAGCAGATCAAATGGGCCACACTGCAAACATCATCCAAGTTTCGCCTTCCTCGGGTCCCGTGGAGGGTGGCTCGATGGTGGATATTTCAGGGTTGGGCGAGGGGTTGGACGATCACAAAGACATGGTTTTCTGTAAATTTGCAGGCGGTGGAAAAGTCGTGCTGGCAAATGCATTCCCATTGTGGCAGCGAGGCACGGTGAGGTGCGTAACTCCACCGTGGCCTACTTCCGGCGCGGTGCTCTTGCAGGTTACCAGCAGTGATTCAGACGTTCTAACCGCATCAACGCCATTCCTGTACTACTCACAGCCTATTCTCTACGGCATGTATCCACTGACGGGGACGACTCAGGGACAGCCGATGATTCATGTTGTGACGAGTGGGACATCTGTAATGGCAGACCCAACGTGTGGGTTCTTCGATGCCATGAACACCCTTATTGCCTTCAGTACCGCGGTGTGGACGACGAAGACGGGCGCGTGGTGCCGAACTCCAGTCGCTGAACCTGGGCAAATGGTCGTCGAAATATCTGCGAACGGTGTTGACTATACACACGGCTCTGGGTTAGTGTTTACGATCATCATGGAACCCATGGTTCTCGACGTTAGCCCGTTGGTGGGTGCTGCCACAGGTGGCACGGAGGTAGCAGTTCGTGGTACTTCTTTCGGGCTTTCAAACACGGCAGTTTGCAATTTCGACGGCGCACCAGTCCCTGCAACGATAGTAAACAACAATTTGGTGGTGTGTACAGCTCCACCCACCTCACGTAAGCTGCCTGCGACATCCGAGCAGGTCAACTTCTTTCTGACCCTGAACAGCAAAGAGGTGGGACCTTCCAATTCCAACACCTTCCCCTTCAGCTACGTCGCCTGCCCCGTGGTGTCAGCAATATCTCCAAAAGCTGGGCCCGCAGCAGGCGGAACCAGTATATTCGTGGAAGGCGACAACTTTGTCGATACGGGAAACGGTGTTGAGTGCGTATTCGGGGCTGACGTCACTCCAGCAACGGTGATGTCCGTGAACCGGGTTCTCTGTAGTTCTCCACCTCACCACGACGGAGAAATCGCAGTGGCCGTAAGAAACGACGGCGGCCGGGCCATCGTTTCACAGCATGGACCAAGCTTCGTCTACAACTCCTCTCTGCGGATACCCCCGTCCGCCACGGAGGTACCATCGACATCCGCTGACACCGGCTTCAACGAGATTGACAGTGGAACGTGGAGTAGCCACACTGCGTGCACTACTGGTCGAGACGGGGTGGGCAGGAACTATGATGGGAGTGGTTGCGACGTCACACGCGGTCGAGTGGAATACATCAGACCTGACAACGGACCACGGGCAGGAGGAACCCCTGTTGTTGTGACGGGACTTTTCTTCGAGGCGAGCGGAGTTTTGACGTGCCACTTCGGCACACAACAAACGCACGGATACGCCGTGAACACCACACGCTTGGTTTGCTTGGCGCCACCCTCTCGCGAAAATAAATCCGTGCTCTTCCATGTGGCCAGTGACGGCCAGCCTTTGCCGTCAGACGACGTTGTGTACTACTTCGAGGACGCACCTGTCGTATTACAGCTACAGCCACGAATTGTGTATCAGGGTATTGACAGTACCGACGTCGTGGTGACCGGGGAAGGCTTCCGTAATGACTCATCGCTTGCTTGCCTATTGGGTGACGAGACCATCGTACGAGCGAAGTTCCTGTCCGACACGTCCGCTGTTTGTTCTATGCCGCGGAACGTCGGATACGTTCGGTTGCAGTTGACCAATAACGGCGTAGACTTCAGCTCAAGCGGGCATGGCGTTGCTTTCGTTCCCCAGCCCCTCGTGACTGGTATCGATCGTTCCCCTGCGTCATCATTTGGCGAGGCGGGCGTCCTTTTGTCGGGTTTGCACTTCTTGGACGTTCCTGAGCTTGCATGCGTTTTCGGAGAACATGTTGTCCCGGCAGAATGGATCTCAGCGGAGAATGTATGGTGCAAGCTGCCTGACTTACGTGTGCCAGACCTTGTGGGAGTCACGGTATCACTCAATCGCCAGGAGCTACACCGGGGTTCTGCAAACTTCGAGATTTTAACCCCACCAAGTGTGCTGGTGGAGTCTGCACAACCAGCATTCGGGCCATGTCACGGGGGCACCGTGGTCACCATTGGAGGCAGCAACCTGAGGGGACGAGGAGAAACTGTCTGCAGATTTGGCAGTGCGGGCGATGTGGTTGCGCAAGTCATCAATACTTCCACCGTCCGGTGCGTTTCACCTGTAAGTCAGGCAGGCGAGATGCGCATCCAAGTTGGAACGAGTGAGCATCTCTTCAGCGCGGCATCCGTGGCGTTCACGTACGTTGAGGTACCAACGGTCACCAGTTTACATCCGTCAACAGGCGTTGTGCATGGTGGGACTCGAGTTACAATCCTGGGCTCCAACTTTGCCAATACCACCGAGTTGGAATGCCATTTTGGCACTCAAACCGCCCTAAAGGTGGCATTTGTATCTGCTGAAGAGGTTGTTTGTGAGACTGCTCCGAGTGTGACGCCAACCGTTGTTCCAGTTACGGTACGCGTGAACGGCGTGGCCTCTGCATCATCTGTCAACTACAGATATGTCCTTGGTGCGACAGTGCTCGACGTGTCACCGCACGACATATACTCCACTGAGTCAGGCTGGGTGACCGTAACAGGTGTCAATTTTATCCAAGGTCCTGACCTGAAGTGCTTGTTCAACGGCACGCTTTCTGCTACGGCCAAATGGTTATCGCCCGTTCTTCTACGGTGTCCGGTTCCGATCGCGTTGAGACCGGATAGCCAAACGATTCCAGTGGCTGTGTCGAATAACGGCCAAGACGTATCGACGTCTTCCACGAATATTTTTGTTCGACCACCCTTGAGGATTCTGTCGGTTTCACCAGCCAGAGCTCCTTTCGATCGGAGCACGCCAGTTGTTATGGTTTTACAAGCTCACAACCAGTATCTTGTACACCACGCTGCTGAAAAGCAACTCTTCTGCCTCTTCGACGATAAGCCCGTACAGGCCTTGTCTGCGCTGGCGCCGGTTCAACAGTGTGGTGTGCAAGCTGAAGGAGCATCGTTTGAGTGTGTTTCTGTCCGGTGTATAGCGCCTTCTCAGCAAGAAGCACGGAATGCTTCCCTGCGTATCGTGGATGGTACAGGAGCTCCACTCACTAGTCCATCAATCTTCGCGTTCGACGTCATGGTCACACCATCCTCCATTTCTCCACGAGTTGGAGCGTTCGGAGGAGGAACCGCAATCACGATTGAGGTTGGGCCCACAGGATTGTTCAAGCTGCCCGAAACAGCCAGCTGTACATTTGCTGATGCGTACGACACGGTTTTGGTGGTAGGCGAGGTGTCTATGGGGAATTTTGGTTCGCTGTTGGTGATTTGCTCCTCTCCTCCTTGGCGGTTACATTCTGGGCATCAATCGTTGGTCACGCTGAAACTTGCTGTGGACGGCTTTCAGGGAAATATCGACGACCACCTCTTCCTCTACTCCAAGCAAGCGAATATCTTTGCTCTCACGCCTCGCTGGGCTACGGATAAAGGCGGCACAGAAATTCGGGTTCGGGGAATCGGCTTTGGCCCACATTCACATTTTTCATGTGTGTTTGGAGTCGAAGGGTCTCCAGTGAGTTCGGCCGATCGCGTGTCATCAACAACAGCTGTGCGACTGTCCGATAATGAGCTTCTATGCGAATCTCCGGCGCGCCCTCCCGGACCGGCGTACCTTTCGGTGACTGTCAACGGAGAGCAAACGGACGGTGTTCTGGAGATTCTGATCAAATCCTCAACACAGGTCAACTTCCTGTCACCATTTCAAGGACCAACATCCGGGGGTACAGTTGTGACGTTGAGAGGGAGCAACTTCTTCTATACAGGATTAATAGCGTGTAGATTTGGCTCTTTCGACGTTCAAGCGACATATGTGAACTCCAGTTCACTTCTCTGTGTTTCACCACGATCGCCTCCTGGTGTCTACTCGGTAAGCGTGGCTATGGATGGAGAACACTTCGAGGATTCCGGGTTGCATTTCCATTACTTGGAGGAATTAGGAATATTGTCCTTGACACCCGCATATGGTTGGACCACTGGAGGCACGAACGTCACTCTGAGCGTTGCGGGGTCACAGCGCTACGAACAGGACGCTTCGTTTATGTGCGTGTTCGGGAGTCATCGTGCAGCAGCAATCACCGTGGATGTCAACCAGGGGAGTATGGTCTGCTCCTCTCCTTCGGTAACGCAGGCGTCCCTTGGAACTGGCGTTGGTGACGGGATGATGGTGACAGCTGTTACTGTCGTCGACAGCTCAGGCGCTGTGTCAGCAACATCGAAACCTTTTCACTATGCGGCACCGGTGACAGTAACCGCTGTGGTTCCTGATCGCGGACCAACAGGCACTCCTGTGCAAGTGTTGGGAGAAAATTTCGATCCCAGCTTCGAGCTTGAGTGCTTGTTTGGAAAGTTGAAAGCCCCGGCGACGTTCGTCACTTCCCAAAGGATTGATTGCCATGCACCGGGTAACCAAACTGGCCAAGTTAGTGTAAGTGTTTTGTCTGGGGAAACGTTGCCCGCTTGGCACGCCAGAGCCTTGTTCACGTTTGAGCAGCCTGTTGTTCTACTGTCCATTGACCCTCAGAGGGGCAGACACGGCGAAAGCACGGCCGTAGTGGTAAAAGGGAGTGGCTTTCACCCGTCAGCTGATCTGATATGTCGGTTTGGCGAGCTGGAGGCGTCTGCAACATTTATTAACTCGACGAGCATACGCTGCCTTGCTCCCCCAGGAGGACGGGGCAGCGTCCGCATGTTGGTATCTACACGAAAAACGCACACGGTGTCGGGGGTACTACACTTCTTTTACGAGAAAGAAGTACTCATTCCTCCACTGAATCCATCGGAAGGTAGCCTATACGGGGGTACTTTACTTACGATCAAGGCCGGCATCTCCTCAACTACATCAAACTTAGAGTGCACTTTCACTTCTCAACGGGCGACTGGAGCGACTAGTACCTCAAGCACAGCGGTAGCCGATGGGGATACGGTCAAGTGCAAGACGCCACCATCGCCTGGATTGACAGTGGGAACAGCTTGGATGAGCTTGACGCAAGGTGGAACTACGATAGCAGAAGGAGCGAGTTTCAATTTTGTCAACCCCCCGGTGGTGCGGTCGGTCCACCCTCAACATAGCTACAGGAAGGATGGCGAACGCGTGGTAATATCAGGCGATAATTTTGTTCCGTCGAAGGAACTCGCGTGTAAATTTTCCACCCCGTGGAAGGATGGGTCTGAGTTAGCTCCAGCTCAATTTATTTCACCGACCAAAATCGCGTGCGTCACGCCAGTGTGGGAGGCGGCTTTGACTTCGGGCATCCATAGCAGTGTGGAAGTTACGACGAACGGGGCAGATTTTACTTCAGCAGGTGCAAGGTTCACGTTCCAGCCTGCAGCCATGATATCTGCCGTGTGGCCTGGCTCAGGAGTGTCCACGGGAGGAACGCCTGTAACCATTACTGGAGTGGCGTTTCCGAGCGAAAAGCTCTCGTGCCTCTTCGGGACGTCAACCGTATCAGCATGGGTGATGTCTGACTACAAAGCTGTCTGTATCAGCCCGCCAATGCCACAAGGATACGACGGGCGAGTACCTCTTCAACTCGTAGTCGATGGCCGGATAGTGGCTGCCAGAGGGGCGGAGTTTACATACGTTCCGAGGCAGCCCAGGGAGGGTCCGATGTTAAGGACGCTGGCGCCTAAACGACGCGAACAGGACGTGTTCTCCGGGATGTTGTCGCTACCATCAATCAGCAATTTCGAGCCGACCAGTTGTTCGAGCTCCGGAACCGTGATGATCCTTGTCCACGGTTCTAACTTTACGAGTACGCCTACATTAGCGTGCTCATTTGGAGGAGTCCACGGCGAGGCGACTTATCTGTCAGATGTGGCTGTGCAGTGTTTGGCACCACGGCACACGCCGGCTGACGTGCTCCTGGAGGTCTCTAATGACGGCGCAACATTTTCTGCCTCTGGTTTGACGTTTCGATTTCACTCGGATCCCTCTATTCTGTCCATTGACCCTTCCCACGGATCAGTCGATGGATCTACGCGCGTGACAATCACCGGTAGCCACTTCAGACACTCGAGTCATGTGACTTGCCGTTTCGGGGATACGACTGTTCCTGGGATCTACCTTTCATCGAACAAGATAGAATGCTGGACGCCACCCATGGAGAACGCAGGGGCAGCAGTCCAAGTACAGGTACGCCTTCTCGAGCGAGTGTGACGGTAGTAAGTGCAGTTGTTTGCCTGTTGCTATTTTGCCGCCCCTAGGAATCGCAAAAGGTCCTTAAAGGTTTCATAACCACACGTGCCAAGTCTTCCTGTGATGAAACAGGTTCGCCGATGTGACGTGTCGGGACACCGTTGTGTACCGTAAACCCTGATTTCTTGACTAGCCCATGTTTCCTACTGTAACGCGGTGTCTTGCGCTGCTGTGAGCTAGGTGAGTAACGACAACGCCAGCTTCTCCGCTGAGTTCCTGACGTTCACCTACGACAGAAGAATGGTGATTGCATCAGTAACCCCGCCGACAGGGGCGACTAGTGGTGGGACGGAGGTGCTTATCACGGGTGGACATTTCCTGGATTCGACAAAGAAAGGATGCAAGTTCGGCGCGATTATGGTTCCCGCGAAGTTTGTCACGGACCAGGCGGTACTATGCACGACGCCACCGCATTCGCCTGGTGCGGTATCTCTGGAAGTAACGTCCAATGGTGCCGATTTCTCATTTTCAGGGGCAGTATTCACGTACCACCCTCATGTTAAGATTGGATCGATTTGGCCTGTCTTAGGCCCTGCTTCCGAAGGTGGTACCGTCGTCACGGTGAACGGGGAGGGATTTGTGAACTCGGAACAGCTCGTGTGCAAGTTCGACCACGTTGTCGGGATCGGAGCAAAATGGTTGTCGTCAACTGCGGTTTTATGCACGGCCCCGCGGCATCGACCGGGTCAGGTGACGGTTTATGTGGCGAACAATGGCGTTGACTTCTCTCCGACAGCCGAGAAATACTTGTACGTGAACGAGTCTTCGCTAGAAGATGTGCAACCGACTCAAGTGCTCGAGACGGGTCAGGTCCCAGTAATGGTGAGAGGGTCAAACTTTTTGAACACGAGCACCCTCGTCTGTAGGTTTGGAGACGTTGCAGTGAAGGCATCGTTCCTTAGCCCATGGCTCGTGACTTGCGTGGCACCTTCCCACTCGGCACAACCACGCTTGCAACGAACGCTTGGATTCTTCCCGGTGGAAGTGTCCGTCAATGGGCTAGACTACACAGATAGCGGGAAGATGATCGAATACGTTCAGGCGAGCCCAGAGGGCCAATTTGTGCAAGACTGGGTGCCCACGTTATCTCCCAACGGCACGTACTGCGCTGGGGTGGGCAACACGAATTTTTCATTATGCGAACCCGGGAGCTTCCAACCCTTGTCAGGCACAGGGCGGTGCTTGCCGTGTCCCGTCGGGTTCATGTGCCCAGGTGCGTCCTGTTCGACGATCGTGTTGCTTGTACATAGGAAACTTACAATACAGAAATATTCCTTTCCAAGCAAGAGGGTGCCAAAAAATCCATCAACTATTCAACCGTATAGACTACCACCTGTGTGTGAGGTGCCCTGGTGCCCTGGAAGATGCCTCGAGCCTTTAAACCCGTTTCGTTTCTTGCCGTTCCAGATTTCGGTCTCTCGGCTCCTGTGGTGTGCCCTGCTGGGTTCGTGTGTCATGAGCTTGGACTGGTGGGTCCTTGGCACCCTTGTCCGAAGGGTCATTTTTGCTCGGAGGGTGTTAAAACCGCTCGTCATGATGGAGTATCAAACTCATCAGAGGGCTATCAGTGGATCACAACTTCTGGCAGTGGAGCAGCACTCTTCAATAATTCTGCCAGGAACGAGCAGTTCGAAACTTTTAAGCGCCCCGGACCCGCAACCGGGGAAGGTCGTCGGGAGCATGCTCCAAGAAACGCCATCCTCGCTGAACAACCTCTTCCGTGCCCCGTCGGCTTCTACTGCGGGCAAGGTGTTGCCGTCGAGACCCCGGTGCCCAAGAACTTCAGCACTCCTCAAAGGTGCTTTGATGGGTTCTTCTGCCCCAGAGGGTCTTTCAGTCCGGAAGGCTCTGGCCCTTGCCCTACCGGTCATTTCTGCCCCACCCCACTCGAAGCGATTGAGTGTCCTCGCGGTCAGTTTTGCCCTGGAGTGGCCAATACAAAGCCCAGAGACTGCACGCCTGGCACATACAACCCTTTCATGGCACAGTCCAACTGCACCCTCTGCCAAAGTGGCCACATTTGTCCGGGATGGGGTCATGTGGCCCCACAAGTCTGCCCGCCAGGGTTCGTATGCGTTGCGCAGGGGTTGTCTGCACCGGTTTTGCTTTGTCCGTCGGGTTATTTCTGCAAGGAAGGAACTCTTACCGTGAATCCGGCAGATCCTGTCGAGCGGCGGCCTCTACCATGCCCGCCGGGCACGTTCTGTCTCGGTGGTGTCGCGCACAATATGACTGTCGATTGGATAGCTTTAGCGCCGGAAGGAGCTTCGGCCCCCCAGACCTGCACGGAAGGGACCTACTGCGAGGAGGCATCGGTTTCACCTTCTGGGTCAGGTCCATGTTTCGAGGGCCACTTCTGCCCGCCTGGCATCAGCTACCCCATTGAAACTCCGATCGGGAACTTTGCGGCAGATGAAGGCTCCGTGGTGCCGATGTTGTGCTTTCCAGGAACTTACGCCCCCCTGACGGGAGCACATGAGTGTCGAGTCTGTCCGTCAGGCTATACATGCCCTTCCTATGGAACGTACGAGCCAACCATTTGCGAAGTGGGGCACTATCGTTCGTTGTCTGATTCAGTCACGTGCAGACCTTGCCCCACTGGGACTTTCTCGTCATCGCCGGGAGTAACAGATGTGTCGTCTTGCCTTCCGTGCCCTCCCGGTCGCATCTGCGGTGTCCAAGCTATGGTCAACCTCACGGAGAGCAATGTGAGAACACGACGAGGTAGTTTTGTCAGGAATTATTTCTTATGATAGGGTCGCTTGGTTGGACAAATAAAGCAGGCCCTCTCTCTCATCGCAACCTAAGTCTTGGCCCGTGAGGTCCCCTGAGAGGGAACTTCGGAAAGGTGAACAAGGCACTGACAACTCTCTAGACGGCCGAAACGCCACCAAGAGTCTGCGGTAGACCAGGTACTCGAATATCCCTAACATCCGAAAACTCGCTGTTCCAAACTAGATTTGGGCCATTTTTGTAGAAAATCCGGCACCTTTGTGCGTTGGATCTTGCCATTCGCTCTGGACGTTGATGCGTACATGCCTCTCTTACTTTTAGGTTTGTCCGGCTGGGTACAACTGTGGTTCTGGAACAGACCGTTGGACCCAGTTCGCTCACAAATGCCCTGCTGGGTTGTTCTGTTCAGCCGGCACGGAGCCAGATGATCAGTACGAGAGCGTGTGCGACGCGGGGTATTACTGTATCCGCGGAACGCCTAGCTATTTAGCAACGCAGGTGAGTAGTTGTCGGCCAAACGCAGCACGAGCAAGCACGCTTGGGCACTCAGCCCGTGTTTGAGGAGAAGTTGTGTTAAACAAGTACCACCACGCGCGTTATCAACCACCGACGCGGTGAAATACACAAACCAATCGCATGGCGGTTACTCACACCGATGTTTGCTACCGACCACACCTACCCCATGTGGGGACTTTGCTCCCAGAACAAATGTCCGGTCGGGTCATACTGTCCAGATGGCACAGCATCAGGCGCGTCTTCAGATGTGCGATGCCCGAGGAAGACAACAAGCCTCGTGGGCGCATCCGAACTCTTAGAGTGCATCATTGAAGCGGTAAGCGACATGATGCTCTTTAGAACATGTGCGTAGCACTTGCAGCTGGAGAGCCGTGACAAACCTCCCAAGCTTCTCGTTGACCACCCTAAAGTAGAGGTTGGCGAAACTCTTGTTGCTGAATTTACGTCCCTTTGGTGGTCGCATATGTATTGCTGTACAACCTGTTGGAGCTAGAGTACTCAACGTATGATGAAATGAATGAATCTAAACATTGCTAACGTCGACCTGTTAACGTTTTCCGGTGAACAAATGAGTCTCAATCGTTGAACGAAATGGACCAGTTTCGCCCCCAAGACCTAGGTACACATTCTGAACGGACGCTGTTCTTGTATTGTTTAAGCATTTATCAAGAATTCCCGTACGCCGTGCCGTTGTAGGTGGATGTCTGCGACAAAGTTGAGGTCAGCTCCAGGGATCCATCCCTGGATTCTTCATACTACAGCAGTTTCGTGTACACTCTGATGGATGGATCTGGAGAAGAAATAGCCTTCGACAGTACGCCGGCCAAGGATCCCACCGGAGAAGTACAGGTACGGCGATAGCAGTAGGTACCCTCCTACCCTTCCAATCGGGGTTCGGAGAGGTTCTAGCAACCAACATGGAGTAGGTGTTTCACGAAAAGAGACAAAGAATAGGTTGAAGTATTTTAAGCATCCAACAGCTCCATACCACACTGAGTCCTGGACGCGTATGGCGAAAAAGCTCGTATCTTAGCTCGTTCGTGAGCCTCTGTACCAAGCTTTCTGTAAACGAACGTCGAATTGCACAAATTGGAAACGCGAGTTTCAACAAACTAAGACGGAGAAATCGAGGAACATATGCACTACATGACGTTTTTCTAGCTCCACACTTCAATACAAAAGCCGTGCTTGCGCTTCGGCTTGTTTTCCGACAGGTTTTAGAGAAGATAATGCCAATTAACGAATCCGGCTCGGACCCCTTCTGGACGAACGACACCATCGAGGTCTTTCGAGTTTGCCCAGAGTACGGCACCCAAAGCGCAAGCGAGACTGCAACTGTCATCGGTCGAAACTTTCGAGATAGCGACGTCCTGATGTGCCGGTTCATGCCGTGCACAAGTTCCACTGCTGGGCCCCGAAAGTGTGAGAACCTTCCGTCAAGTGAAGTTTCTGGAGACCAGAGGTCTATTGAGGTGGCAGCCACTTACATCAGCAAGACAAGAGTGGAATGTCCTATCCCGGAATATTCTTTCCCGTCCAACGATTCTTTCCTTCTTCTCGACGGCGTGTGCGAGACGGACGATGCTGGAGTTGTAGCCTACGTGCAGAGCTGCGAAACAAGCGCCATTTCCGATGGATCTTGTGAAGACGACGCAGGGGCCGGCTACCGTTTCGTTTATGATACACTGGTAAGCTATTGCCGCTCTTTCAACTCGTACCGGCATTCAGGATAGCCTTCAGAGCCAAACTACCTACCTTGGACATGACACACGCAGGACGGCGTCAATACACAATGCCACTACATGAGGCTTATTAAGCCCGGTTCCCCCTGTCACCCAACACAGGTGTCTTGCACCGGTGATGAAACGGAACGCGGGACATGCGACAACACCCCAGTATCAGGAAGGATGTGGAACCCTTGCTACACGGCCGAGGTACGATGGGGTTGATCGCAGGGGGAAGCGTCTGGTCGGTGGGCTAGTCGAGTGACATCCGATGTTTAGTATTCTCGATGAGAACACACTGCGGGCTTGATGGTTCTTGCGGATTATTTTAGAACCTGGCATGCCGGAGATACGTGGATATGACTACTGTCACTCAGGCGGGCGAAATGAATGATTGACGCGTTCTAGTTCAACACTCGCGCTGGTTGTGTTGTGATGTGGTTCGTTGTCAGGCTCTAGTTCGGGATCAAGCTTATTGAGCTCGCTACAGTGCAGAAATGCGTTTCGGGGGCGTTGTGGACTTAGCACTGGTATGCGATGGCCTGGGATATCTCGGGAGAGGATACCCCTCGAGGGCCTCACCTGTACCTACCTCTAACCAGCCTACGGACTTAGGTTGTCGTACCTCGATAGACCACCTGGGAGTGAATGGGCGGTGACGCGCCGTCATGGGTTGGCGCGAGAAGTTGATCACCTCTGCTTCAGGGTAACATGCCTGTGAGTCTCTTCGTTTGGTTTAAATCTTGCTCCGTTGCGCTCTCGGCACTCAACGATTTTGCTGCTCTTCCCAGATACGAATTGACGTGTCAGTCTCTGGCTCCATCTTCAGTGGGGATGGCCTGTTCTACCCGCACTCAACTCTGCCCAGTGCTCTGGCCGAAGAGAACTACATGGACTACACTGTGGATGCAACGTTTGCTACCTACACAGTCGTCATGGAGGTGGGCGTACAGACGCCGAAGAGGGTTTTGTTTGCTATGGGACGCACCTCTGTGATGCGCGCACCAGGTGCATGATGCACCGGTTCTGCCGACCAAACAATTGCACAATGTTTTTTACTGATCTCGTGTTTCTTGGTACCGTTCGTATCAAACTTCAAAGGACTACTGGCTTGATGATACGAGAGTGGCGGACATGGATGCTCGTAGGTGCATGACAACAAGGATAAACGAAGAGGGCGATAGACAGCGGGAGCAGGGATGGTTCCTTCTCCGGGCTCTGCAGTCCGCTCAAATGTCCTTCGATCTGTCACATATTCCATCCAGCATGGTGAGACGCGACTCAAGCCCGTCTGAAGACAGCGCTAAGAATTTGATGCCAGTTTGAGTGGTGGTGGCTATCCTTTTGGTTCCTGTACGCAACACGTCGGTATATTCGTGGTGAACTTTTGTGTCGCCGTTGGGTTCATCTTCTTTGCGTGCATGGGAACTGAGTGATCGAACTCGTTGAGGTGCCTCAATACACCCTGACAGTAGCGAATTGCTTCATTTCATGTGTTCTCGTTTTGAATGTTGACGATTCGTTCTCCGTCCGATTTGTCATCTTCAGGTGTACGACGAACACTACAAGTTGGCCATATACGTGACGCCTAGCAGATGCGATGACGAGGTCTGCAATTCTGCCCGGATTCGCCTCCCGGCAGCAGAGAAGTTACCCTGTCGCCAACCACTGGATATGCCCGTAGGGTTTCTGGACTCCAGCATTCCAAAAAATCAGACTCTCAACTTCACCATTTTTGCTTTGGAGGATGTCTTGCTTAAGGTACGCATGCGGTATTGACGCTGTCTGCTGTTCCTTCCGCTGCCTATATTTAGTGTTTGAAATTACGATTTTGTCCCACCGACTCATTACTGAAAGCGATTCAATACTTCGGCAACCGAGACAAGTACAAAGTCCCGGTTTTTATTTTCTCTCTTTGCTGACGCACCACAGACGGAGGTCCATATAATGCACGGCCTGTTTATGCCATCGGCAGCTTTCTTCAGAAACACCACAACCCTGAAGAAGATGGCCCCCAGTCGAGCGAAGACTCGGCTGGGAACTGTTCCAGAGAGCCGTGCGTTGAACCCGTTCGTATCCTTTGAGGAGCGCAAGGTGGTGAACGTGAGTGTCGCTGACAATTGCACCTTTAAGGATCGGGGGACGGGGGGCGGGGGCGGGGGGGCGTACTCTTATGTTTTGCATGCCTTAGCGGATAGACCATTGACCAGGCGTCCTCGAGAGGACGGAGCATTGTTCCCACAGGACCGATTACCGATGGCCCATCGTTCCTTTCTACGTTGCCAAAGGTGGCTCGAAAATGTCTTCCCCAGTCTGTCTATCCTAACGATATCCCTTCCCGCCTTTNTCTTCGCACGAAGCCGCAATCACATTTAACTCGTCGTCTTCGTCGTCTACCGTCCTATGTCTTCGTCGACGTTCTCGAAGGTCTATGTCCCCGGTCCTGAATTTGACCTTAAGCTTTGTTCCTGCATCCATTGGTCCATGTAGGTAGTCCTTGAACCCTATTCCCTCCTTCAACATTCCGTACACTTCTAGCCCCCCCTTGTCCTTGGTTTATTTCCTTAGATTCTGTTCTCCCTCGGCACAAGCAACAGATATCTTCTCCTTGAACCCCTTTACTTAGACCCTCCCTTTCCAGCGTTTCATCTTCGTCGATGTCGAACCCCTTCCATACGTCCTCACCTTGACCCNTGCGCCGCCTCGAGTTTTTTCACTCCCTTCTTATTTCCTTCCCATACTTCTCCGGCGTACTCTAGCGGCGGTACGATTATGCTCTTCAGAACCGGGGGAGGGGGTTGGCTGAAGTCGAGAGATTGAAAAAATCCACCGCGCAGTACTTTTGCGGCTTATCACTTGTGGACGAAGCATCCCACCCGATCTCGGTCGACGTTCCCCCACCGTTTCTTCTCCTTCGTTCCAGGAATATTTCTTCGCGGCCGTCTACTATGAGAGCCTCATGAATACGATTTCAGCGCCTCTCAACATGCCACCTCGATATGCGGAGTTCTCGAAGGGCCGCGTTATGGTGGGTTTCAACACATCAAATCAAAACATGGATACTCCATGGCTGAGAGACGACCTGGAAAACGTCGCGATAGCCAGCGATTACTGGGACAACCCTGCAGCATCTGACGAGCTTGGGAAGGAGTTGAAGGATACTTTCCACGAGGTTCGCGTCTTCGGAAGGGGGGGGGCGGGGGGATCTTCGCCTGAACCATGACAATTGAGTGTGCGAGTGTGCAAACATCGTGACATGATGGGGAGCGAGGCACGATATTGCTAGGCCACCCTGCAGACAAACTTGCGCTTGGTTGGTTGTGGTTTGGACTACATGGGTCTACGTTTTGTTTCATAATGCGAAAAACATGCTGCTTGATGTCGATGTGTCGTCAGCCCTTCGTTTGTGGAAGTGATCGCTGTTGTAGGCTTGCTTGGGGACACTTACTCCTTGGCGTGTGCCGTGGTACGAAATATAAGTCTTTTCGCATGAGAGAATTTGCACCAAAACCCCTTTTCCATCTGAGCTTACCCTGTCGCTGGATTTCGTTTGAAAAATACAACACGCCAGGTGTTCGACGAATATACTGTGAACGAAGACGGCACTCCAGCTTACGCCTTCTCGCAGTTGATGCTACCATACTTGCCCTACTTCTCCAACTGCCGTGGTTTCGACTCGCACATTCCTGTGTACGCACTGTTGGAGAGTAGCCAGTGCGCCCTGCCGGACGACCACGACTCAGATTGGTGGCGGTAAGCGCTGAAATGATTCCTTGGTGTGTTCACGTCTGTGTACCTTCTCCAACATACCAACTACTTCGAGCCCATCTCAACGGTTTCATGCAAACTAAACGGAGGTGACGGTGCCAAGGTATTTGATTTTCTTCCTTGCTGTTCAGGTATGCGCATCCTGTGTTTCCACATGAAGACGATGTTGTTCACGTCGGGCCGTGGGACGTTGGAAACAAGCCAATAGCAGATTGGTGCACCTACTCCATCGAATGCCAGTACGAGGTAAGTGGACAGAGGGAACCTCCACGTCACATCCAATTCGACAATCTCTAACCTCCGTTACTCTTTGTTCTTGGTGATTTTAGGTCTGTAGTTGAAATTTATCCCCGGTTTTCGCATGCTCCATGAAACTTCCCCTCGACAGTTTCAATCAGCATTTGATCCTTGTACCCGTATACTGGCTGTTATTTTCTGTTTCAATTCCTAAGGAGGAGCTCGAGAGCGTCGACATTACTCCGCGGTGGTTTGAAGCTGCGACAGGAGACAATATTTTCTACCTCATTCGTGAATCAATCACATGGCAGGTATACTTATGAGATGTTGACATTAACAATATCCATGATGAGCGCACGGCCAGCCCCGCATTTGGATCCTTATTGCTGTGGTCCTTGATAGTTGACTCAGCTGTGTTGAGGGTTTATCGACCGTCAATGCCACCAGGGGACGTGTAGCTCCATCAGCTGTTACAGAGATCTAACCCTGAAGCATTTTGGGTAGTCGTCCATCACATGGTCAGCTGCCTCAAAACCTATGCTTGGTGTTCCACGTTCCCCAAAATGTACGAGTAAGGCCGGAACTTCAATCATCCATGATTTTTGCGCTACCTGTTGATTCATGAGGATCGTCGGATCAAACCGCCTACAGATCATTGCGTTAGCACCGCGAGCATCGCTTGCGCACTATGAGATTCGAGTACTTTCGTCACTGACAGCGCAAACTGTGCTCGTTCCAATGCAGAATCAGGTTGAAAAACTGTTTCCCTCCTTGCTGTTCGAAATGATTTGCCATGTTTTACCGAATCGTGTTTTATTCGGAAAGGACTTCACGGGGCGAGCTGAGACGCGTGTTGGATATGAAGATGCGGGCACTGGGGCTAAGATATCGTCGCTAGCTGGTGAAGAGGGATCCGACGTCTTCGTGCCCATCTCGGTTGATCGCAAAGCGGCAAACACGTTCAGTGGTGGATGCACAGATCTTTGCTATCCCAGGACGATGACGTTGACCATCGCCTACTACCAGTTAAATACTAGCACGAAGCGTATCATTGACGCGAAACTGAAGTTTGATGACTTCGACAAGGACCCGTCTCAAGTTGGTTATACACTCAACGTGGTGTACTATCCGCTGGACTACTGGGAATTGATAATCAAGTTCGCTTTTGAGAACACCGTCTTCATTGCGCTCTTCGTGGTGATTGGCTGCACGTCGGTGCTGGTGGCAGCCCTTTACTGGCTGACTGTCCGACTCACTACACAGGTGGGCTGAAGTCGTGTTCCGGCCGGCACCCGCGTGCTGAAGCTAGTCACAGAGTACTACAATCGACCCACCATAATGCCCGTGGCTATTGTGCAATGTTTGTAAGATTCTATCAAAGTTGTGTAGTCGCATTTTGGTCTTTTTGTAAGGCCGTGTTGACGCGCTGGAATTTTTTACTACTACATGCGATCGCATCAATATTTTCGCTCGGTATGTCGTCACCCACCTCCAGCCGTTTATCAAAATCACACCGCGGCTCACGCTTCCTATGTACACGGCCAGCTCTGTGGGACCCTGCGGGTTCCGCTCCGTAGATCGATGATGATGAAGTCTCTCCACTCTGTGCCATGATGGATATGCAATTATTTATCCGCCACGCCAAATATTCGCGTTGGAGACAATCCTTCCTGAAGAACATCGTTGGAATAAATGATAGCGCCTGGGATGCTGAGGTAATAATTGTAAGTGCTTATATGGTGTGAGCCTCGTTGTTGACCACAACCTGACGGGTGGTGACCATGCCGTTTCTCTTCTTCTCGGCCAGCTTGTAAATCCATCGCGGCTTCACTTCTGGAGCATGTTCAGCCTGATTGCCCCCCCGGCTTTCTCGGGCACGCTGCTTGGGCTGGTTCCCATCGTGATCATGACCCTGGCGGTGTACGTTCTCCTCTACGGCCCTCCGTACATCGATACAACCGACTGGGTTCTCGACAGCTACAAACTTCACTACATGGAAACGGCCGTGGATCCCGACAACTACACTAAGGCCAGGTAGTGGATGCATCGAGAATCTGTTTATAGCCGGGGAAATTCTTTGGCATGTTTTGCGCAATACCCGCCATTGCAAAGAAATAGATCCGAGTAGCTTTGCCGGCTGCGAATGTCCTCCCTTTCTCCCTCGTGACCTATCGGCACAGTCCATCCCGCCAAGAGCTCGTTCTGTAGGGACATCACCCTGGGTACTTGAACATTTTTCCCGCGAGCAGCCCTCGGCGCTAAATTTGATTGAGAATATTCATCCCCTGAGTCTTGAAGACATTGCCCCGCCGTTGAGAACACTACAAGGTGGAGAATGTGAATCCCTTTAGTTAAGTTTACTGTGCGTATTTATTCCGCACAGCCCTTTCGTATACTAACCTTCATGTATACTCCTCAGATATGGCCGGCTGGGAGTGTGCTTCGTCACAGTAAGCGCTGTATGCATTTGGCAAGGAGCGCGGATATTTCTTCCTGATCGCCAAAGCAAGCGCGCCAAAGAACTGGAGATAAAACGCGACTCTCGGGCCGAGAAGGAGCAGGTAGGAAGTTGTGTATTCAAGTTCACGGTTCATCTCACCATTCCGCAGCAAGCCTCCACGGCGCGCCATGGAACTGAACCGTGTTGGTTTCCTTATCACCTCGAGCTGTCCTCCAATCAACTCGACTGGTGGTGTGCCCTCTAGTTGATCATGTGTCGACGTTTTGGGTGTTGACAGGTGTGGATTCCTCTGACCTGGCGACGAAGCAACATGGTGTTTTCATCCTACTCTGTGGGTTTGTTCGGACTCTTCATCTTGGAGTTCTCCCTGTGGAATAACTTCGGCAACTACATTTGGTACGTATCCATCGGTTTCACCATTCTGGACATGGTCATCGGTGATATCATCAGCTACCAACTTAAAGAGGTGGGTGGAGGTTGCGGCGAGTTCTTTGTGGATCGATCATAGATAGCTATTTTACTAACCGCAACAAAGAAAAAACATAAACTATATATATGGACGATATAGGGTTAAGGCAAACTCATCCTTTCGGTGTTTACGCAGGTCCTCTTGGAAGCCCCGGTAGGGACTGGCCTTGGTATTGTGATGGGCATCACGGGGATGGGGGCCAACGACTTCATGGACTTCCTGCTATCGTATTTTGTGGACCTGGGACTAATCATGCTCTTCCGAGTCAACATCGACCCCGCGCTGGGTGACATCCTTGAAGCGATTGGAGAAATGTGAGGATGCGCCTATTCGACAGAATCGGTTCATCGCAATTTCGCGATTCAATGAGGGCGCGTTAATTCAACATCACCATTTCCCTCTTTTGTTGGTTTCATTCATATGTGCGTCCACTCTACGCCACTCTACCGTGCAATGCCCATTTCTTGAGTTGCAGGTACCAGTCGGCTAAAGACTCTATCAGAAACCGGATGCCTATCTGGCTGGCGGCGCGCTTGGCAGTAAAGCAAGACACCAACGACACGACGGCCAGCTATTCAAAGTACGTGGTTCATGTACCAGTACCTCCTAGTGACTAGTGGCGGGTTTGTACAAGTGATTCACAGTGGTGATCGGGTCCAACTTTCAGAAAAGCGTCGTGGTCTTGATCGGTAGCCGGGCTTCGTTAATTAAGTGCCCACATACCTCGTGCGACAATGGTTCCTTGTGCAGGAAGCGCGAACTGGAAGGCCTCATAGGAGAGGGAGCGGAAACTGTGGAGCCCATACTTGATGCTTTTGGTGGCTATTCCACTGACAACCTCAGCAACTTCTACTACCCCTACATCATTGTGCTACTTATGATTTTCCGTGACGAAGTGAGTCACCGTTTTCATGTTTACAGCAGTAAATAGGCCTGATGCCTAGCTCATGGCCACGTAGGTTCGATCGATATCCGCGACCCTCGTCGTTGTTCGTCTTCTTCACAATCCACACAATTACAGCCTCTGCCCTCTTTCTACTTTGGAACATCTGTGCTGGCGAAGCTGAGCACACGCCTTCCGTGGTGACTGGTTGGCCACCGAAATATGGTCCATTTTAGCGAAGTTAAAGACACAAAGAGCCCAGATAATAAACCTAAACGCGATAGCATAAGTATCGCATGTTATTCGTGTACCCTTCTCTCACTTCCTCGTGTTTGTGCTTGGAATGCTAATGTTTTGTTTCTGCGACAGGTGGGGCTTCCATCCCTCTATGACATTCAAGTGCAGGATATGGAGTACTACCTATCGTTTGCTCTCGTCATCATTTTTTTCCAGCTTTGCGTCGACGTTTTCATTCATGGCGTGCTGGAGCTCTTTCACGGCTGGAAGATCTATGACTACCTGGTGAGTAAGCTATGGCTCGTACCCCATGGGTTTTTACTGCAGGCGAATTCGTGGTGAAGTTGTTTGGATTGCAATCTGCTAATTCCCAATAAATCAAACGTCCCTTGTGTTTCGCTTGTAGGTGTACACTCGATATAGATTTCTGCAACGGGAGACTCGATGGAAAGGACTCGAAGACAGCTTGGACGAGTGCATAGATGAGAGTATGCGCACCCTGGATCAGGTACGTGCAAAATGAGCGAACCAAGTAAGTTAAATCCTTTTGGCATGGATAGTGCCGTGACCAATATTCTCGCATATTTTGGAAACCGTTAAGCCCTGACGATACCTCCCCACCTCCCGCTGTTGTACTCGTCCAACGTTCGTTTCATCCTTGTCTTGCTTGCCAGATGTGCTTCTCGTCTCAGTACTACATGATGATGACCGTGCACGTCAATGGTATTGTTTACTTCGTGCTGGGTGTGCAGATGATGATACGAAAGGTGTGCGAGACTACGTAACTTGTAGAGCTTTTTGACCTGTTTGTCATTGTACGAACAAACTGTTTGACCTCTGTTGCCAAGTCTGGTAAGCGACGGCAGGGAGAGAGCACTGTCCGAGGGTTGTATCATCACCAGAGCGCTGGTGGGCAACGCTCGTTTCCGAAGCTTCAGAAAATTGTACTGATTGGTACTATCTCCGCAGTGTGCGGTGTTTCGAGAGGGGCACAACGGCTCACAAACTTCCTTCATCTGTATGTTGTTTGCAGAGATACAACTTGTGGGGCGATCCGCTGCTTGTGATCATGATTCCCTTCGTGGTAGCAATTGCCTACCTGACCGGGTGGCTGCTTCTCTGGATAGCTCTGAAGGTGGGTGTTCGTGCTCAACGTTTTTGTACACGTCCGTTTCAATCAAGTAAGCCTGCGTGCATACCTTTACGCTGTACCTGATTCCGATCACATGGTCTCTACAAAGCTTGGGATGGATAACAATGACGGTTGGCTTGGTCTGTATACCTGTTTGGACGTCGTTTTGCGCAGGTGAACATGTGGAAGATCAAACACGAGAATACCGCTTGGCACTCGAACGTGGATGATGACGACGACTTCGACATTCCAGACATGGATGACCTCAAGGGTGCCAGCCACGATGCGTACTTGATGAACCAGCGAATTACAAGTGAAACATTTCGCTACAAGTTTCTCAACTACAACCGCTCCTGGCTGGTGAACCAGCTCCCGTCCATGCTCACCCCTCGCACACTGAAGAGGAGCCGACCGTACCTCATTAACCAATTCTCAAGAATTTTAAACCAGCTCAATCGGGATATTTCATCCGACAGTGAAGACGATTCCCCAGATTTTGGACCTGTCGCCCTCACGGCTACATCACGCAAGATTATACGATGGTGGCTGGCCAAAGCTAGAAAACAGGTGACGTAAACCGTCGCGCACGATGATTTGCGTGCCCCTGTAAAGCAACCATGGTCGTGATTGGTGCTATCAACGCGCTTCCGTGGGGCAAAATTTGCCCGTGCTAAATCCATTTTGTCGGTGCTTAAAATATTGCTGATTATTCGATATCTACAATAACTTGATTTTTTTAAAACATGTGACCACAAGGACACCATCCCCAGTTGTAAGCCGCGCCGCAAAACACGTGTAATCACTGACGCAGGTAAAGCTTCGCGAAACAGTCCAACCACTGATCAACAAGGCACGGGGGACACATTGCGAGCAGTGCCTTTCAAAAAAGCAGCTGCAGGCCAAACTCGTGTTTGAACTGGAGGACTTGGCTGCGCAATTTGCAGCGGAACACACTGCGGACGAGTTCGACAAGGTGAAAAAGAAAATCCAAACCTTTTGCACTGACGTTCCAGGTATCGCTCTGTAAACCGTGCTTGCAATTCCTTCTCAATTACTTTCTGTTGGTCCACACCCTCAGCGTGGTCGACAATTTGAAAGCTCCGGTGATAATTTGTCAGTGCATCATGCGCATGCCTCACCGTGTCCACCGAGGATGAATGAAAATGTTCTTCGGCGTAAAGGTTATGAAATGTTGGCACATGCTGATTATCACTGTTTTTGAACAGTTGGGGTGCGCTCAAACAAATTCTGTTTAAACTTCGCTCTCATGATAGGCTCCTACTTCCGTGTCTATGTGTGACGTGAACGGACGGTTGTATCACGCAGATATAACGATATGTTGTTTGCAGCAAGTTCCCTTCTCTTTGGTGTGCTAGCTAGGTGTACCTTGGACAATGATCCCGGTCGCCCCGTAGCCTAGCTGCTATCCTTGCAACCCTCTGGCGGCAAGGGCCAAGTGTTCGAATCCCGGCGTAAGCGAGCTTTTGCTTAGAAGTGAGGTTTCTCTCGCTTCCGTTCCTGGTATTGGAAAAAGCGCTAGTTTGTGTGTACACGTTGAGGGAAGATGGCGCTGCACTCTTCTCGCATTGTTAATCGACGGAAAGCATCGCAAGAGGGGTGGAAGGAAAGGAACCCTTTTGTGTGGCCGCGGAATGCAGCTCCTACCCGGTAGAAATGCTGTGAGCTATGAGCGCTGATTTCAAGTGATGAACCAAACACACAATGATCATTGTTCGATACCCGCTGGCCCATGTCAAACTTGTGGAGGCCATTAGACGATCAGAAAACTGCGAATTTTTTGCAATGAAAATGGTTCTGTCCGGGTCATGAAGGTGGCGTGGAAGCGCTTCTGGATGCAGAATCAACGGTACGAGACCATTTGCTTACAGTGCATAAGCAAGAATAAGGAGAAGGCCAGGGATAGCTACGTTCATGGCGCCATGGAAGAAAGTGAGGATGACGGAGATCAAGGCGCATACCCCGACTGGGGACCAATATATCTCAGTGCTGCCTCCAAGGCGATCCTAATGAAATGGTACCGACGGGCACAAGATAATGTTTGGGGAAAAGCAGGACGAAAGAGGCCTCCGGTTCTAGTAGATATTTCCGACGACGAAGGCGAGGACATGCCAGCAGATTGGGCAGTTGCGGAGGTGGTACTGTCAGATGCGAGTAAAGCACTAGCCATCCGTTGGCTTCGCACAGCTCGGGCAAGGCTACAGCAACGAGGGGAAAAACGACGTACAAATAATTAAGTTCAGGGACTGTTGTTTTCTCGCGTAAATGGTTGTTGCCTTCCTTTCTTCGAGCAGAAACTACAAGTCTATCGTCGGCAGTGACGGACACGCAATTTATAGAAAAGGCGAGCGGTGGGGGGACTCGATTTTCTAGAAGGTGCGAGTGGGTGTTAGTCTTGTCACTAAATCCGCTTTTATGCATCCCGCATAATAGGATTTTAAGTACGGGTTGTGATCTGCCGAAGACTCTCTGCAGCGTATGTATCCGTCCGACCAGATGTTATTTTCAACGCTTACAAAAGTGGTATTCTCATGTGGGGGTGTTTTTTCAGACACAGCCGATGCGTTTGATTTTTGCTTGTCGAAGTAGGGCTGCCTGTTCCCGGCGACGGTCTACGGTAATCTCTTTGTTGTGCTTCCCCGTCCCGTTCGTTGTATCTTTTGTTACCACCTACGTGTACCAGTGTCGTATACCGATTTATCTATTCTTCGTCGTTCCATTGGCCCCCATTTGTTGCGTGCCTCACGTCCATCGTTGTCTAGAAGTAAAACAAAAGGAAACTGTTGTGTGGCCTTAAATAGGCATGCACTAGAGATTCAGATGTAGCCCTAGCGATTGCGAGGGGTGTTGCGCACGGTTGCCCGCCTTCACTATGGGACAAGCTGTCGCACTTGGTGGTCTCAATCAACTTGCGCTGCTCGATCAGTTGCTGAACGATGCCACGAAAGCCCGACGTCGCGCCAAAAGGTTCGATGCGGGGGGGTGTACTCATAGTCGTGCATGCCGTAGTCGTTAGACCATTGACCTCGCATCCCTACAAAGCCGGGACGGAGCACGNCCAAACGCGAAGCGCCGTGAGATATTCGGCGAGTCGCATGAAGGGTGCGCTGCATCCTGCTAAGGGTGTTCGGCAACTTGTGCTTACTCCTTGCGTACGGATGATAGCTGCGTATGACTTAATTTATTTTCTGGTGCTTTCACCTCCAGAGACAGTTGTAAGCACTACTGTGTAACTGCCTTGAGGGTGCTTGACCACTTTAACACAACGTGGTGCGATCATCCCCCTTGCGCGGAGCGAGGCTTCTCGACCCCGCACAATATGATCTACTCGACCACCATTCTGGTTACCGCCAAAAAAAAAAACAGAGGTAAAAAAAAACAGTAACCTGGTTGCCGAGTTCACGAAGTGAGTTGGCTTGTTTTACAACGTCGTTGCCAAGCGACGAAAACCCAACCCCGATGGCAAACACCGGGGGGGGGGATGCGGGTGTTTTTTTATAGAGTGCGTTTCCGAACACGCAACGTGGATGCCATCGACTCAGGGACAGCAATCCACTTGTCTTACGAAATCCCTTTCGGCCATAGTTCTCTCCCCGGGCTTGTCGGTTTCGACCGAAAACATTGTCACCCACCGAGCGCACGGTTGCAGTGGCGACCGTGTTAGGGGCTGCATAAATTTCGTACTTTCGTGTATGACCCGAAAACGAAGGCGGACAACATGACAATGTGTGGCCTTCCTTCCCCTGTGTGGCACCGCTCGACTGGCGAGTCCACCCACAACGAAAGGTGTAAGAGTGTCGTCAGAATAAGATGACAACACGCACACATCGTCTGCGATAGCAAGAGCGCTAGCATACAGTCCTAACTCAGTGGCAAGGCTGCTGTTGTTGAATGTAGAATCGTTCGTTCATTAAACTTCGGGCGTGAATACTGATAATGAAGGAGTGAGTGACCGAATTTTCGTCAGAATAGATGACAACACGCACACATCGTCTGCGATAGCGAGAGCGCTAGCATACAGTCCTAACTCAGTGGCAAGGCTGCTGTTGTTAAATGTAGAATCGTTCGTTCGTTAAACTTCGGGCGTGAATACTGATAATGAAGGAGTGAGTGACGGAATTTATGTTTCAGTCCTTGCCACGCACGAAATCATTGACATACCCCTGAACCTACCTGCCAGTTGTACATGAACCGTGCAAGAGATGACGTCGCGCGCTGGTTGCAAGCACATACCACGTATCTTGCATGCCCCAAGGTGTAAGAAGCCCCCGGACGATACTGCTTTGTCTCAATTTCTGCACACACACACTGTCATCTGCTCAACAATCACATGGCGACATTCCTACACTCACTGTTGCTCCTGTAGATTTCGCACACATCAGTCTTGCTCGTACTGCTAAGGTCTGTGAGCACAATACGCGCCACTACTAACAAGTCGGGAGTTCATTCAGAAGGCAAAATGTAAGTTAAGAACATGAAACTCTGTCAGAATGCCTACAATTAATTGTATCTTACTGAAACCTGCAACTCGATGGTGGGTTATCCTCTCAGAAAATAACCAACGAGGCTCCAGCAAAACAAGATGTTCGGTTGGCTCCTCCCAAAAACTAAAGGTATGCTTAAAGAATAAAGGCGTTTCGCAAGTAATAAACGAAATGACATATACTAGTAGTCACTATGCACAAATACATGCAGCTTTATGGGGAGGGGACCAAAACTCAACAGAGAGACCACCTCTCAAATGGTTTTTTGAGCGTAGATCGATAACTTGCTTCCGTTCAGAGGGAGTGCTGCACACCTCTCGAATTGAAATTCGAAGGAAACACCGCAGGAGGGGTGGGTAGGGGGCCTCAGGGAAAGGAGAAACCTTTTGTGTGACCACGAATAGGAGCTCTCTAGTTTCCCCAGCTTACACATACGTTTTGGCTCGTAAACCGTAAGAAGAGTGTTTGGTGGATGGAAGAAATCAGCCGATGTTTCTCCGATCAAGTCCTGATCAATTCTGTTTCCTCTCTGGTCGATGCGCCTCTCCGTGAGCATACACACCCAAATACACAACAACATGTTGCGGACGTCGCATGCAGTTGTGTGAGACGGGTGATGCGATGCCTGGTGCGCTGCTAGGGGCGCGGGGTATGGACTAAAGAGCCCCCTTAGCTGATCTCCCAGGCATAGCCTCCCTAGGTGAGAAGGGGGGGGGACAAGCCACCAGACGGCCAAAGAATACGGTAGACGGGAAGATGCGCATTTGTTCGGGAGTGGAGTGGTCCCCCAGATGGGGCAACAAAGGGGTGCCATCATTTTCTCTGGATAATACGATCAAAGCCCCCAGCAGAGCCCGGTCTACCGGGCGGGGTGGGGGGAGGGGGGGCGTACTTTTATGTCTTGCGTTCCTGAGCGTTTCGATCGATCACTTCACCATGCGTCGTCGAGAGGACGGAGCATTGTTTCCACAACATCGATCACCGATAGCCCATCTTTCCTTCCTACTTTGCCACAGGTGGTTCAAAAATGATTGTGCTACCCAATCTATCCTATCGATATCCCTTCCTGTCTTTTTCACCCACTTCCTATGCTCCAGTACAGTTACCGTCTTCTCCTGGCTATTCCATGCCTCAAACATCTCTCTGTAACCTTACGGTTGCATTACTTGTGCGCTTGGAGCATCTTAGGAAGGTTTTCGCTACGTCTACAGTGGGGGGCGGGGGGGCGGGATGTACTAATAGTCGTGCATGCCGTAGTCGTTAGACCATTGACCTCGCATCCCTACAAAGCCGGGACGGAGCACGCCGGGTTCT